CGCCGGTCGAGTCGGTCCTCTTCTACGCCATCACCACCCTGCACAACCTGCTGCTCTACCAGGAAGGGGCCAAGATGGCAGTGCGCCTGGCCGACGGCCTGCAGAAGATGGTTCCTCTGCTCAACAAGAACAACCCCAAGTTCCTGGCCATCACCACCGACTGCCTTCAGCTCCTCGCCTATGGCAACCAGGAGAGCAAGGTGTGGGGTCTGGGGGTCCTGCCGGAGGGAGGGCAGGAGCGGGGTGATCGCCCAACCTTGCTCCTTGCAGGATGCTCTCCTGCCGTCATGGGGCGAGGGACCGCGGGGCACGGGGCTGGGTGTCCGCGGGGTGATGGCCCGACCCTGGCGCTTCTGTCTTGCAGCTGATAATTCTGGCCAACGGAGGCCCCCAGGCCCTGGTGCAGATCATGCGCAGCTACAACTACGAGAAGCTGCTCTGGACCACGAGCCGCGTGCTGAAGGTGCTGTCGGTGTGTCCCAGCAACAAGCCCGCTATCGTTGAGGCTGGTAAGAGCAGGAGGAGCGTGGTGGTGTCAGGGTGATGCAGCTGATGTGAGAGATGGGCAGATGTATGGGTGAAACCCTGTTTCATGCTCTGAACGGTGCTGAGGTGCTTTCCTGGCATCATGCGTGAGCAGGTTGTGGCCTGGCTGGCTGGGAGCTGTCTCCCTGCACTAAGCCATGAGGGCATCACTTGTGGCCTGCTCTTGCCATGCAGACCCATTGCCTCTCCCATTGCCTCTCCCTTCTCTCTTGGGACACCTTTGGGTGCTCACGGTGGTGTCTCTTCCCTGGCAGGCGGCATGCAGGCGCTGGGCAAGCACCTGACCAGCTCCAGCCCCAGGCTGGTCCAGAACTGCCTCTGGACCCTGCGGAACCTGTCTGATGTGGCCACCAAGCAGGTGAGTCTGTGGGACCCCGCGTCGTGCTTCAGCACCCCAATTTGGGGGCTGGCTCTGCCTTGGTCCCCGGCTGCTTGCTTGGAGCTGCTGTTGAGGTGGTTGTGCCCATGGGGCAGGCGGGTGAGGGTGACCCTGAG